AGCTTCGGTGATGGAGCATTGCAGTATTAAGCAGCATCCCTCCCCTTCTTATCGGTGAAACATTACGCACAGGAAATACAGTGACAATGCGGCACCCGCCGTCCTTTGAGTACGAATATAAGTGGGAAGTCGTGGGGAGAGCTGTAATTCGAGGCACAGCAACAGACACAGACGGACATCAGCAAGCTCCAATAGAGCTAATCCAGCAGCCCAATGGTATCCATTGGGGATTGAACGACTTGACGATAAATCAATCGGAGCTCACGAAGGATATGAAGACGTTACAGCAGCGAGAGCGTGACAGGGGTATCGTCTTTGCTGCGCATCCGAAACTTCATGACTTTCCGTGGATGGTCTCGCCGACAGTGGCCAACAAACATGTACTAAAGGCAATCAAGAAACTAGCATTTAGGAAGTACAGAAGTGAAGGAGAATCGCTTGACGTGATAGTGGAAAAGTTACAACTAGCGGCAAAAACGAGTCAATGGCAAGCTGCAGCTCTGGAACAGAATCCTAAGCGGCTATGGGCGCACCAAAACGAATTAACGGAGTATCAGGTATGGGTCGGTTATCGAGTAGCACTCCGACAATTAAATCTGCATCATCCGACACGGCTGGTGAACAATAGCTGCCATAAACTAGAAGGGTGTCAGGGCACCAAGGAGACACTGGAGCACATCTTCTGGGACTGTGCATGTGCTCAAGTATGCTGGCAGAAACTCATCTGCCAATGGACAGAGAAATGTTGGACCCAGGCTACTCTACACAACTTCCAAAAGAACTGTGCAAGTAGACAAGCTCCAGAACTGTCCAAAACGATCACAGAAAAGCTACGAAATCTCTACCCAGATGAGGCCTCTCAGTACGCAATAGTTTGGAAACGGCTGTGGAGAATACTCTGCAGTATCTGCATAACAACACTCTGGATACAGCGCAATCGGGTCGTTTTTCAGCATGAAGAAGTAACATTGGACGGAAGTCTGCAGGAGTTCTGGACTACAGGACAAAGGCAAATACGAGCAGTCGCCATACGTGAGCGACGGTGCCCAGAACGTATAGAAAACGGGACGCGTCTCCTACTCTGCTTACAAGAGTTAGACAACCAGCCCAAAGCGATGTTCTCTCACAGGACAAGCTTCGTACATCCTCGGTGTCCAAAGGAACCGACGTTGATAAACAGGCTTAGGATCAAACAGACATCTAGTCGTCGATAAGGACCAAATAGAATCGTCTGCCTCTCTCTCTCTACATGTATAGGTCCGTTGAGCGGTTCTAAGACTAAGATCCAAAAGACATGGCTTTCGCTCTCAGGTGGTAGGGAGGTAGCGTCATCAAAATAGCTCCTGGTCCGT